AATGGGGGAGTAACAACTTTAACTGAAGACTGGAGTGTTTGCTAGACAAAGAATCTTTATGGTTGTCATTATCTCTTTGAGCATATAGGTTTAATTGTAATATATTCAGGAGTGAGACTCCCAATACTAAAAGTCCTGGTCTCCTTACATATTCAAACCTCAAAATTTGAACTCAAACAGAAAGTTGAAATTAAGATAAAGAGAGGGAGAAAAATCTGGAAGGTTCTAAGAGCCGACTTCACATGGGAGCAGACTTCACAGGTGCCTCTGTGGACATGCACACATTTTCTCAGACACAGTGGGCAAGATGGCTGTCGGGAGAGGAAGAACAGCATTCTCACAGAATCATTCTACATCAGAGGACAAAATGTGGAGGTGTAGAGGCTCTTGTCAGGCTTTGAAATCTAATGATGTTTTGAACTTGTTTAAAACAAAAAACCCTACTGTTCTGTGGTGATATTTTATTTGTGCTTTAATAAATAAAGCTTGCCTGGAGATCAGAGGAAAAACACCAGCCATTATAAGTAAACAAAGTAGTCAGACAGTGGTAGCACATGCCCTTAATCCTATCACTTGGCATGCAGGATCTCTGTGTGTTCAAGGCCACACTGGAAACAGAGCCAGGTGTGGTGGCACATGTCTTAAATTCCAAAACTAGTTAACCATGGAGGTCTGGAGGGCTGTACAGACAGGAAGTGACAGAGCTGTGTAGGAAGAGGAGGTAATGTAGCTGAACAGCGAGAGCAATCAGATGGCAGAACAGCAAGGCATATAGACATGGGTAGACAGGAAGTAACTCACATTTGGAAGCTGCAGAGTTGGTGAGGTAAAGTTGGCTGATGGCTATCCCTATTTCAATGATTTCTCTAAGGCTTTCACCCCTATATTTGGCTCCATGTTTTTATTTAGTAAGACCATTTAAAAATTCATCTACACTGTTCTTTCTTCATCCTCTTGGTCAGGTGGTAAAGTTGATCATAGACCTGTCCCACCACTGTACTGGAGAAGTGAAGCTTGTCCTCCAAGTTCCAAGGTCAGTAGATGAAGAACTATATATGGGTACTAAAATAAAAATAATAAGCATATGAACTGTCTGTTTTATTACTATTTGTGATGAAAATACTTAAAATATACTCTTAGAATTT